ATGGCTCAGGTTTGTTCTTCAAAAATGAAGAGTCCCAAAGTATTGTCTTAGGGACAGTTACTCTATATTGTACCTTTTAACCATTCTAGTAAAATCATTTTAAAATATCAGAATCTAATGACAATTTCAAGGAGGGAGAGTGCTTTTGTTTTTTTTTTACAGAACAATGAATGGAAGGATTTCTAAGTTATGAATGGCTATTACAGGTGCTTTACCCAAGGACTGGCCAAATTCAAACTGAGACTAGTTATCAGGTTGTTAAAGACCAAAGGCTACCAGATCTTAAGTAGGGTGCATAAAAAAACATACTTCAGTTTCCCTTTCCTTTCTTAAAATATAATTTGTTTACCCTACTACCATCATAATCTAAATGAAGTCATGTCTTTCTTTTATTAATAAGACAGCTATTTTCTGAGAGTCTTAAATTTTCTAAATTTTCTTACCACAAACACTGTTCATTTCTTATCCTAAGACTGATAACAAGGTTTCTATAAAAATGAACATTCATGATCAAAGAGCAACTCTGTATCATAAACAAATTACAACAACTGGGCACGCTTTGAAATAGCTTAACTTAATTAAGCTCAAACACTTTCACAAAAGCTTAAAAAAAAAAAAAATTGTAATTGGAGCTCCATTCAGGTTCAGCTGACTTCATATTTTAAGTTTGGGGTTGTTCGATTTTTTTTTTCCTTTTAGAGCTTTGCATAAGCAAAACATTTTGACAGTGTTGCCTTCCTGGGAAGAATGTTTTTGATGGTGAAAATTCAAATTTCCAAATGAAATGCCATTCTAATTGCTCACTTCTACAGTCCTTTTAATTCACATGAAGTGTGCATGCCAAACACAGGTCTAACAGCATGTGACTATTTCACAACCGTGCATATCCAGTACTCATGTGCAAACCAGTAAGTGTAATGGAGTTCATGCCCATTGTGTGCTGGAACATCAGTAACTCTGTGTGCATATCCGAAATGCATTTTACTCACCAAACCCATTTAAAAAATAAGAGTTTGGTTTTGAGGATTAAAATGGAATCCCTATGGCATCATCTAATGCCACTGCCTTAAACTGTTTTGTCTTAAGCATGTTCAAGGGTAGCACATGTTACTCCAGCCACAGTATGCTTTCATCATTTTTGGTGCATGTTGTTGGTTCATTCATTCATTAACATTTAAGCTGAGATAATCAGACAATCAGATTTTGGAATCTAATTTATAATCTCACTTTTTATTGCCATTTTTAAAATGTTGCATAAAACTTTAGTTTATAGGTTATAAAACACGAAGTTACCAGGATTGATCACCTCCTTAAGTCTGATTCTAGGCCAATATATGACAATATTTACAATTAAACTTTTATTGGTTTTTAATGTCATAATGAAAATAATTTTCTATTTGCATGGCTGTAGAATTTTTTGAATGCTCTTCTTTTTTTTTTTTCTATGTCTGTTCTGCACTCAGATACTGAAATACAAGCTGTGATTAGTGTGTGGATAAATGTCTGTATTTCTATCAGGAATACTCATGGAAAAAGAATTTCAAATTCATTCTTATAATCTACTCCTGGTATTCCTGCATAACCTTTAACACAAACTTATATTGTTTGCATATCCATGCTTGTAAAAGTTTACTATACCAGTGATTACAGAAGGCCTTCATTGGAATAAATTTATGTATTCATTTTAACAGATATTTGTATTCTTAAATGCACAGTTCCTCCCTATTTATTATTTCTTTTCCATTTCATGAGAAGAAAATCCACAGTGAAATTTATTTTAATAATTGGAAAGTATTAGAAGTGCTATGCCAAATTACCTGTAATTATATAACCTTCTGATTCTGACTGTGTTTAACAGATTAAATGTTCTGTCTTTACAACTTTCAAGGTTAAGTGCTCATAATGGGACATGCTGGTGAGTAGGTCATATAATCCACAGCAAGTGGTACTCAGGAAACCAAATGGAAGATAGTTATTAAAATCTATAACATACAACTTTAATCTAGCACTCAAATTATAAGGGAACCACTTGGAAAGAGCTAAAGGCTATTTGCAGGTTCAATATATTCATTTTGCTCTCAACAGTGATCAAAGTTTGGAACTTCACATGTCTTGGACTGGTGTAAGAGCTAATTTGGAAGAGCTGCAAAAATTCTACTGTTATATCCCCAAGCTACAGTGGTTTCGTAATTGGAGTCTCCTACCTGTGAATGAGCAGCTGCTTGCATTACATAGCTCTCAGTAGCTTTACACCATTGTATTTGTAAGGGTTAAAAGTCAGTGAAGTGAGTCTGAACACTAAGACAAATTACACTTCTATTTTTTACACACCGTTTTCTAACTGAAATAGTTCTTTTTTAATTGTTGAATATTACTTTAAATTGAGATGCAAGATTTAAAGTCTATTTGCAGGGATGTTTCAGTCACTGTCAAGATCTTCAGATAAGTTTCTGTCTGCCTTTGTTCCACATATTTTACTTCTTTATCTTTAATTTTCGTTAGTTTACTGATATTTTCTTTTCCTAATCTACCCTGAAAGCCATGTGAAGTCTATAATTCAGGTCCAAAGCCTCCTTAGCCTTGGGGTAGCACATTAAAAAAGAGGATGGTTTTCTTTTTTCCAAAAAGGCCAACCTTGTGTAACTATTATACTGAAATAAGTACATTGAAAGCCCTCTATCAAAACAACCACACCATTTTTGCATTGCTGTTTTTCCTCGGTTGGTCCTTGAAATGACCTTGGTTTAATTACCTGCATCTCAATGAGTGAATCTACATAGAAAGTGAAGGTTAATTAATGAAGGATCGTTTCTGACTTTAAACCCATCAGGCAGTGGCTGACAAGCAAGTCTGGTCCATGCAGTATTATCCTATATCTCATTAGAAATGGTCAGATTGATGTGCTAGCCCTGGTCTAGAAAAAGGAACAGGACAGTTTGTTAATGAAGAGAAGTGATGGTACTCTTGCAAAAAATTTGAAAGCCTGTATAGGAGTCCATAATTACCAGTGTTGTTGCGATTCAACTTCTTTAACTAGCTCTTTAATTTCAAAAGAATTTAATTTACTCCTTTTAAACTTACCAAAGTTTAAAGTCTGCCACTTCGGCCAAAACTAACCACAGAATTAGATCCTCTGTCATACATTAGTGTAGCTGTCACAAAATCTAGTCAGGTTGCATCACTTTACCATTGGTGGCTACAAGTATTCATACCTTTGGCCTGTGCTTCTAGACCTCTCCTTGCCAAGGAGTGAACAGCTATATTTTAGAGCTGGCTGCAGCTCTGTTAGCATTTCTCATGGTGTCCAGCAACATATTCACAGCCATGGCTGACCCAGCCTTCCCATTAGGATGGACCTTCACATATACTCAAGAAAGCTATTTTACAGCTCTATAAAGGCATGAGGAGAAAAGTAATGAAGTAAACTGAGGAGGGTCTTGCTGTCATGCTGTCATTCCTGTAGGTAAATCCATTAAGTTAAATAATGGTTACTGTCAGCTACAGCACACTGAGCAATGTGCCACAGTCCAGGCCTCCTAATCCACTACTTCTCTTGTATCCAGTAAAGCAAACTGTATTACAGTGAAAACTCTTTGTTCATTAAAGGTTTTAGGGTTTTTCCTCCAAAACCAAAAAGTAGGTTATTGTGAAGATTACATTGAGACGAATCTTGGAGTTACACCAAGTCTTGAACAGCGCGATGCTTATAGTGGGGCAGCCAGTGGGAGCTCTCCTAGCAAGGGCTGAGCTTTGAACAGGGTGTTCATCTGTTAGCTCACATGGCCCTAGCCCACATCCTGCAAATATTTGTTTATTAAACTGTGAATTTTTTTCCACAGAGAAATGTAAAGCCTGACAGATATTCTGCAGTAAATCATAAGTCACAGCAAATATCTTGATTAGATAAGTTATTGTCTTAGTTGGGCTGACTGTTTTTCATTTGTTAAATAATCTGTTGGATGACAACGTACTGATAATCTTCATGGAGTAAAATACCCACAAAGAATATCAGTGGCCAAAACAAAAATCCAAAAAATATGGCTTGTAAGAAGACGGTTTCTCAAAATAAGCAGCTTAAACCAAAGTCCAGAAGTTTTACTGAGAGCCCTAAAAGCCCTCTGTACTTAGGCTCGTAAAGAGACAGACATACACCACACATAAATTTTTTATTTCCAATCACTCGTGCTGTCAGTATAAACTAGCATGTTCGTCATTTTAGAAAAACACTTGCAGTTTGTTTATTTTGAGGACCATGGTGGGGAATGTATTTTTAAGACGATAAACACAGTGTCTTACATCTGGCTGTAGCTTAGTATGATAGAGGTAACTTGGTCATATGTCACAGGGACCTTTTCAAAACATAAAGTGAGACTCAGTTTACACAGAAGGTCTTTTAATAGACATTTGCAGAGAGATGAATTACACCTGCAGTGATTAATTGCACTCTTAATAACACATTGGATTGCAGAGCTCAAACCAGAACCTACTCAGACAAAGGATCTTACTTTTAAAAGGCTTTTGACTGGGTTTACAATACCCCACTAGAATAAAGAGCAGGAAGATTTCTAGGTGCTGTACTCAGATCAAAGGGATCCAGCTTCATCTATGAAACCATCTTTGGGCATCTTGTGGTGCAAAGCAATGATGTTCTCCAAATGAGATCACAAGTTTTCCTTTTAACCTGGGAGTCAGACTGTGTCCATACCCACCTGCTGTGTGCTGTGTGGACACTAGGCAAGTGTTTGCCAATTTTTGCTTCAGTGATAGTTTTCCAAATCCAAAAGTGGTCAGAAATGCAAACACTTCTTATGTTAGTGAACAAAGAATATATCAACATCAAAGGTTTATTTGCATGCATGTTTTGATTACATTTGAACTTGCAAACATTACAGATTGTGGCTGCCTTGCAGTTTGAGCGGAAAACATTGTTTCTTTGCTTTAGACCACACATTGTTCTTCAGCACTTTGTAACTCCTGTTTTTACAATCTTCCTTTCTCAGCCTTAACCAGTGATTAAGAAATAATGATGTTAACGAAACAAGTCTGAAAATTTTCATCTTTTTCATCATCTCCTTTGAAGGTTTACATAAAAGAAGGTAGGACTGAGCTTAGATATAAAACTTTTCTTTAATATGCTGCATAAAACCATTTTTCTGAAAAGATTTAAATGCTAAATTACTCCCACCTTTTCTTAAGTAGAAAATGTCTTGTGAGATCATGCTTCTCTCTTTTCTATAAAACATGATTTTTCTATATGCAGAAATATTAGGAATTGTTTCTGTTTTGGGTAAGTGCCAGAATTTAACTCCTCACACTTTTATGTTTTCAAGTACTGAAAGAAAAATGATAATAAAATAAAAAAAAAAAAGTTTTCTGTGACTGAAACAGAGCTCATTTACCTTTGTAATTTTCTATTAATTTACTACTAGGATTCATTTTGCATTTAATTCAGTCCTCTAATGGCTTAAAACTGTGTCTTTGGTCTTTACACATTTGTGGTCTCAGTCGTGTCAAGCTTTTTCATCTACTTTATGTTCATTTATTTTAACTTTTAGTGGTCTTCTAGCCAATTCTTTATCCTTTTTATTACAAGAGCATGAAATTTTATAATGCCCTAGAGCTTTGTTAGTCAGCTGCTACAAGGTTCTTAACCTTAGTTAATTTATTCTTTCACTTTTGACTTTCAGATATGGAGCATGCTTTAATATTTTGGTTTTGAATATGAAAGCAACTTTTATTAAGTAGGTTTACTGCATTAATAGATCTTTATTTCATTTTATAGTAGTGTTTAGCCATACAATATATCATTTTACATAATGATTTATAATTTTGGGCAATATAATTTAAACTTTTCTATATTAAAATGTTGCTAATATAAAAATCATAAGAGCATTATGTATTTTTTCTAAAATAAATCCTTATAAACAAGCATAAATATATTCTTTTTCATTGTAAATCCAGATTTTTGTTGTTATTGTTTATATTAGCAAATCCTAAGCAATGGCAGTTTGCTTATGTGCAAAAAAAAATAAAAATAAAAAACGGGAAATACCACTAAAATTGTTATCTGCTTTAATTTTACATGATTATTCTTAACATATCTTGTAGCCCCATCCTATGACATAATGCTGGCTGCTCTTGCGATTTGGGTAGTCCCACGAGGATTCATTAAATCCCTACAGCCACATTATTATCCAAGAGTTTCATATTTTTATCTTTCAGGAGTAATTATTAGCATTCCCAGCCTTAGAGCAAAGCTTAGAAATATAAATGTTCACTTCCAACTTGAAAAGACTAATCAAAAACAAAATATTAAAAGAAAAAAAAAAGTATTAATTTATATTTTTAATTCTCCCTATTTTAAAGCAGATCTTCAAATTCTGTGTATCTTACATTATACTTGGAGTGGGACCACTGTAATAAATATCAGTATCAAACCCAGCAGGAGGAATTCTGAATTCAGTTGGGAACTAAATTTAGACCTAATTTGAAATCCGGTGAAATGAAGGCAAAGACTCCATTCTGTTACAGACTTTGGGTTCTGACTTAGGCTGTAGGGCCTGACTTAATGACCAGTCTGGAAAGATTTTGCTGTGAAATTCAACCTGCCTGGACAAAAGCCAGCTTCTCCTCAAGCCCCATACACCATTTTTAAATAGTATCAATTCTGCTGTACATGCCATTGTGTCAGCCTGTGCAGCTTCTATCTGTGGGTTACTAACAGGGTTTGGAGATCTGGACAGGAGAAAAATAAAGCTGGACAGGAAAAAATAAAGCTAAAGAGCAGAAGATGAAGGTGATACTAATGAAATATAAGATATTGTTTTACCCAAGTTACCCAACATGTACAAGCTGGAGACTGCTAAATTGAGGCAGAGAGACAGGCTCCCTACTCACCAGAGGTGAACACACTCCTAGGTATGCCTGAAAGTGCAGGACAAGAGTTGCTTTGCTCCATGGATCCCATTAAACCAGAGCCAGCAAGTATGGAAACGGCTGGTGGGACCAAGCCTGGAGTGACGTGAGAGAATTGAGGTGTTCAAAATGGGGAAAATGAGCAAGGTCTTGAAGTTCAGTGTTTGGCTTTTTTTACTTTGCTTTTGGGACAGGATATAGCAAGAGGCTAAAATATCAATTTTATGTGCTCCTAAGAAACATGCACATATCCTGCCCCAAATGTTTAAGCAGGAGGAGCTTTTAGCATTGCAGAGAGCATTACCACTACACTGCTTTTTGCTTTGATGAAAGAGAGCTGATGCAAAGGTGAGACCATTTTAGGAAATTAACAGCAAAGAGGAAAAAAGTTCTCCTAACATGCACTGGCTAGACCTACGATAAACAAAGGTGTCTGTATTTTTACGTTTTTATACCCTTTGTCTTATACAAATCTGCATTAATCTGTAATTTTAATAAAAATGCATTTTCATTTCAAAACAGATAAGAGTGCTTCCTATAATTCTTGTTCTCAATGTGGTATAGTTGTTATTCCACCTACATTATTTACTTGTGTGTTAAGTATCAAACTGACTCCAATGCCTTGGAGTTTCATTTCTGTTCTACCGGGAGCTAACATTTAATGTGATTTTATATATATATAATATATATATATATACGAACACTTCTTTGTCAGGTAGAAGCTTTTAGTCATCCTGACATGAGGCTTTCATACAGCAAAAATATTACTAATACTATTTTGCCTCTAAAGTGCATTTGTTATCAATATGCACTTAAACTAGTGATCAAGAGTTGGTGGGAGAGACACCTGCTCTGCATTTCTTATCTTTTTAATACCTTAGGGATACATCACTTAATAATTTAGTGCTAAACCATTTAGCATTTTAGCCCATCATCTCTTATATTACACATAGGATTTCAGTAATGTCTGATAAAATTATGTGTTAGCTGCCTTATGTGTGTGTAAAACTTAATAAGTCTTCTTCCCCCCCTCAAGTTTAATAACTGATTTCTTACATTTATGGATGTGAAATTTTATTGCTCATGGATATAGTTTGAACCTAAATCTTCATATCTTATAAATTGATTTTTAGTTTCCTTTTTGACCTTATGAATTTCAATCAGACATTGACCTCTTGTTGCTCATGAATCTGACTGATTTAATGCCATATAACAATAATACTGTAGAAAAGCATTATCATAAGAGCCCACAGGGTTTGCTGAAACCCATAACTAGATTTTGGAGGCCTCTAGCAATAATAATTCTTGACCCAAGACTATTCTCTAATGCCTTCATCCGTTACTGTTCTGGACTGGCCAATCCTTGTTTTAGTACATTCAAGGAAAGTAGTGGAGACTCCCAGGAGAATAGGAGCTAAAACTGTATGGAGAAGATAATGCTGAATATACTCCAGTAACATGAAGCTTAGGAAAGACCAATTCTGCCTGAGATCTGTCACGTTTTGAAAAGAGAGGGAAAGACTATTTAAAAGGAATCTTTTGTGGCAAAAAAAAAAAAATTAGTATTTACTTAGTGTTTAATATTTTTCAAAAAAAAATAAAAATTTAATACTAATTGTCTTACTGGAATGTATTGTTAATCTTCAGTCTATCATTATGGCTGCAACCTAAATAGAGGACTTGAATGATTACTGCTTTGTTTGCTTGGCTGTGCTAATTTAATTTAATTTAATTTAATTGCTTATATGCTTTGGTTTACTGAATAACTGGATGTTGATGTTCATTATTCCTTATTTAGAATCTTAAAGGGAAAACAAAAGTGTGAAGGACATGGGACTGTGGCATTATTTTGTGAATGCTGAGTGTGACTGACTTTGGTCATGGATGTTTATTACTATATTTACTCTGTGTGTACATATATATGTATATGTGAGTTTCATTTATTAATTGATTGTTAGGAAATAAGCAGGGAGTCAGCACCAAAAATCTAGATAAAACTACTTCTGGTAAACAGGGCAGGGGGTTAAGCAACAGCGCATGAGCTATGAGCTGTGAAATACTCCTTGCAGGCTCCAGCCAAAATTATACAGGTGTTTCAGCATGACAGGGGGCAAACAGATCAAAAGGGCTATAATCAGTTAAAAACTCCTTCTGTTCTAAGGTGATGGCCAGTTTATCAGGGATTTATTTATGAGGAGCAAACTGACAAAGTCACTGTCTTGGAGGGCTAGAGGATAACAGGTCTCAGTACCCAGCATTAGGTAAAACTTAGGTAAGAGAGAGAACGCTCACATTAAACCTTTTCTTTTATGTTTTCTTTATGTTTTGTTATATCTTTAAGTTTAATTGCAATTTCCATGACTTTATGATAAATGTCTGGTTGCTGTAGTATTTACTGATCTGAGTGCCTGCAAGAAGTTGAAGATAGACAACTGAATTGGGCTGCTTGCATAATATGTTTAAGGCCCCGCTGGTGTAGCCAAGACCTAATGCAGCAGAAAAGTCTTAGGTCCTGCTACAGAGAAAGGCAGAACGTGCACTCTAACTTGAAAATATGTATCGCTCTTCATTTTGGTTGTAGACTAAGATCCAGAATTCATGTAGCTTATGAAAGCCTAGAATTGTCTGATCGCTTTATGATGATCTGTGAAAAAAATCTCCAACCACAGTGTTTCATGCAGGATATGTGCTGACCTGGTCCCATCTATGTTATTTATGTTTTATTTTACTCAAGCATATACATGTGGAGGTACTCTTGTATTACAGCTATCAGCTGTTGTTTCATGTAGGAAGATGAGAAATGGGAGGTGGTCCTGTATATCTCATTAAGCCTAGCACATCCTCGATGCTTTGTATTTAAAAATTAATTAAAAGTGAAGACCTCTTCATGGCAGTCCAAAAACACACTGGCACAGAGCCATGTCTGTTCATCTGTCTCTAGAGAACTAATCTTTGCATACTGATGGCACAGGACTTTGTTGACGCATCTTATCTCGTTCGTATAACTGTCTGACCAACTTCCCAAAGCTTGCAATGCAGACTTTAAGGTTAAAACTTGCCTTCCCACAGTGTTATTGAAGCTGCTAGGGCTTTATCCAGTCATCATTTATACGATGTAAGGTATCAAATGAAGGTTGAAACTAGTATTAAATAAAGGATGCCAAGTGTTCTTTGAGAACCAAAAGTTAGACTAGATGTAATCCAGCAGTGAAATCAGACTAGCAGACTTCAGATACTTTTTTCTTTTTTTTTTAATATAAACAGCACAATGCCACCTCTTCATGGACTGGGCAGTGAGTATTTTAAAAGATAAATTTGTGTCTGATATACTAATATTAAAAGGTTTCCAGATTAAACATATAATAAAGTAGGTAAGTAGTTTGAAGTACAAGTATACAAGTGGAGCTATATGCTACTGCTACCCTGTTTAGGATGCTAGAGTCAAAACCCAGCCAAGCCATTCTGTTCTCTTATAAACTAATTAAATTATTTATTGTCATATAAAGTTAACAGTTTTCTGTATTTATTCCAGCTTGTGTTGATTTCTGATATGAACAAGGCTCTTTGGTCTTTGCATTTTTATCTAATTCTCTCAACATTGGCAATAATTTTGCTGTTTCAAAAACTGATCTTATTCACCTGCTGCTAAAAACACATGTCATGTTGAATTACATACCCTGCACAGATATTGTTGCAATTAGCAATTACAAAATATCACAAGAGAAGTGTACAAAGGCTTGGAATCCAAATTTGTAACTGTATGTAATCATGTCCTAATTTGCTTAAGCATGTGCCAAGTAGTCCTGTTCATTTGTACATGCTGTTTATTGATCTGTGTTCACAGATGCGGTAATTTTACGTGGAAATCTGGAGCAGTGTGATGCAATCGTAAAACCAGAATTCTGTATTATGTCTCCGGTGCCCAGCATTTCTGGTCGACTGCCACCCAGCCCGCCAGAAACGCAGGGCCTAGGGACCTGGCATGAACCATATGAATTCAGTGTGTGTGTTTTCTCCAGCAGAAGATTAATGAAGATACTTTTCTGAAGATGCTGAGTTTGAGTCACCTCCTATTCATGGTGAAGTATCTCCAAGGTAAGATTCAACTGATGTTGGAGGTACAAGTTAGCTTCCCTCCTCCTTACCATATCTCCAGTAGCATTCCCAGGTGTGATAGATGTCCCCTTTCACATGGCAAGAAAGCAGCTGTGGAACCATGTAACTGCCTTCAGGATGTAGCCAGAAGAAATGCAATTTGAAATTAACCCAATGTAGGAATAAATGTCTTTTAGTGAGGCTTCCTGGACTCACCAGAGACCATCTACCACAGAGGTGTCTAGCTTCTCTGTTGGTGTAGCTGCGGGAGGGTCACACAAGGGCAATATCCCAGCATCCTGCTTTGGTAGTGGGAAATGGAGAGCTGTGCAGATGGAGACTCTGCAGGAAATGCTGGTCCGAGTGAGGATGGATATAGGCTCAGGGAAATTGCCATGTTTGAAAATTAGTCCAGAGCGTGAGGACTTTTTTTTCTCCTCAGTATATGTAGTGCACACAGAAATTACCCAAATAGTGGTGTCTATATATGTGTATAATAATTATTTTATTTATTATTATTATTAAGAAAAAAACAGAGGGAAGGGAAGGCTTCCCTCTGTTTTTTCTTAATAATAATAATTTCTTAGTAATAATAATGGAATAATAATTTCTTAATTTCTTAAAGGAAATAATAATTTCTTAATAATAAGAAGGGAAGGGAAGGGAAGGGAAGGGAAGGGAAGGGAAGGGAAGGGAAGGGAAGGGAAGGGAAGGGAAGGGAAGGGAAGGGAAGGGAAGGGAAGGGAAGGGAAGGGAAGGGAAGGGAAGGGAAGGGAAGGGAAGGGAAGGGAAGGGAAGGGAAGGGAAGGGAAGGGAAGGGAAGGGAAGGGAAGGGAAGGGAAGGGAAGGGAAGGGAAGGGAAGGGAAGGGAAGGGAAGGGAAGGGAAGGGAAGGGAAGGGAAGGGAAGGGAAGGGAAGGGAAGGGAAGGAGATTTGCAATGCTTTCTTGCTGCTGTTCCCAGCCAGTGTCTTGATACAATACTGAACAGTCAGTTACTGGGGATTATCAGATATTTCTTCTTTTTTGGTTCTCTAGCAAGTAGAATCTATTTTGATTTCTTGGTGTCCTTTCTAGTTATGCTGTATTACTCATAACTGCAGCGCAGTGGTAGCTGCCAATACAAATTTAGTCTTTTCTGTTTATTCCGTACTGTCCTGTCAAAGCAGATAAGTCTGCTTTGCATTAGAGCTCAAAAATTTAATTGTGGGAAAATGATGAGTCACTCCAGCTAAGGTAAACCAATGTCTGTGTCAGAGGACATTCTTTTGATGTATAAAGCAATGATATGGTATTAGGGCATGAGCCAAAATCACTAATTCTCACATAGAGGTGTCATTTAAATTTCCCTGGGACAATGAGGCTTTTTGAACCAGATATAAGATTGATTTGGGGTCAAACTGGAAAAAGAGAAAACCACAAGAGGGAATTTTCCAAGCTTAAATAACAATTCAAGCCACCTACTTCTGAACATCTAATGAAATGCTCTCGAGAGACTTATTTTCCTTCATATTGCCATGAGATTTGGAGATGGTAATGAAACAGTAAGAGACCATCTCTGGGAACCAGGAATGTGATGAAATTGAGAGGAACAGAGTCAGTCCACCGTTTTGAAAAAGTTTGTGGGAATTGTGCTGTAACCATCATTGAAGGCCGTTTCTGTCTCCTCTCCAGGAAGGAAAGTGTGTGCAACCCTATGGCTGGCATTATATACATGTATTCCCTGGCATCATCCTCCATTGCAGAGCTGCATCTCTGTTCATTTTAAGAGTTACAGCAGTCTGAATAATAGAAGTGATGTACCTTAGGAATCAGAGAATTGGGCCTTCTACCTGTCTGGATGTGCTGTATAAAGGAAGGACTCGTATGCTATGGAACCTCAGTCCTGGTGGTTAAATGGGATTTATATGCATAAAGCCAGATTGGCAAACAAGTGTAAGAACCCAACAAGAAAAACTGGAACAGAGTGCCTGAATACATAAATAACTGAAAATCAAACTAATCAAATTTCCCTCTACATTTTCGACTTAAATATCAGTGATTCCAGCCCTGGTAATCAGTTCTCTTTTAACAAGATTTAACAGAAAATTGTTTAAATAATTCAAAAGCTGTGGTCATATAAACATTATATTGCTCAATTGCAGCATAGCAGTACCCACATTTATAGAACTGCTTGAAAATTCCAGTCAAGCTGTCCTCTGGTGCTCTCCCTACCTCAGACATACTTGGAATTCCCTCTTTTTTCCAGGTTGAGTGCCACAGTCATCAGTCTTTCAATGAGTCCTGGAACCATAGCTGTCATCTAGTCTGGTTTGAGTGCTTGTATTGAATATGCGTTGCTGAGCTTCATTTGCCTCCCCTGAATTCTGTTTTGTTGAAATAGACCTTCTCAAAGACAAATGTAGCAAGGCACATGACTAAATTTTCTGCAATATTTCTCTGTGATACAATAAATTTTCAGCAGAAGAAATAGCAGAAAATGAGCAGAAATGCATAGGGAAAGCCCATGAAGGAATGATAGAAATTAATTCAAAACCTTTTGTTCAGCATAATTTGGACAAGACATAATAGAGTCCACAGTTTACAAGTGAGAAGCAATAAGTGAGAAGTATATAACTGGTAAAACAGCACTCAGTTAATTTACATTTTCTGTTGCATCTTTATGGTGAAACTCAGCTATGTGTTAATGGTCCTCAGAAGAATCTAGACAACGCTGATTCTCTACTTATACTTTGTATTAAGGGTAAAATTCACCATATTGAAGAGGACAAGCTTAAGATCTATGCACCCACTTAGTACCACTTATCCCAATTTTCACTTAACAAGGGCGTAAGTAGTGTATACGTCTGGATTGTCCTTCTGCACTAAAGTGAATTTTCTCCCTAGTAAATTAGATTGGTCTGATGTGTGCTTAAAAGGAAGAAAATCTTTGCTTTCATGAGGGGTTGTTCTGGGAAATTGCTGCTTGACCTATAACTTAAACAAAAAATTTCAGTTCTTTAAAATTGCTTTGACACTCATGCATGGTGTATTTACATGATTTACCATTTGATCAAACAGCAAAGTTGAAGTAATGGAGTCCATCAATCATGAAGGGGAATGAAGTTTTGAAGGAGCTGCTTGTTCCTTTGCTTTTCAGATCCTTCCTGTGGATGGATTTTTTTAATATACTTTTTTTTTTTTTTTTTTTGGTGTTTGAGTAAAATTGGTATAGAGTGGGTTGAGTAGCATCATAAGACCATAAGCATATCCCTCTGCAGAGAGCACAGAAGAGTGGAAAGTAGTTATATATTTAACTTGGATGTGAGTGAGATAAACATAAACAGGATAATTTTGCAAGCCAAGAAGTCATGACAAACTTAAATTAAATGGAATGTCTTGTGTGCATGCAGACCTACACCAACTTTTTTGTGCTCAGTTTGCTACCAAGATAGGTTAGACCCACCTGGGTGTGCATCTTATTTCACAAGTCCGGCAATTGTACAAATACATATTCACCCACATAGATGCAACTATACAGAGCCCTCTAGCTTCTGACTTTAAAATAGGCAGCTAGTTGGACGCATACACATTAGGGCATGCAGAATACCTTCCTGTGGCCTCAAATGCATGTTTTTATTTGCAGGAACACAGGCACTGCAAGATATTCCAGTCACAGTTAATGAAGTCCTTAATGAACTGATGGGCCTGTTTCTTATCTCACTTATGCCAGATTTAAACCTATGTAACTCCATTAACTTGTTGAGTTGATCCTAATTTTATATAAGTGTAAAAAAGACGAGAACCAGACGTTTTATGTTCTCATTATCTAAGAGAATACAAAGTATGAAGTTCTTAAAAACCTTTTTTCTGTTTTCTATCAGTTACACAGAGCCTTATGCACTCACCCACCTTTGACCCTTCCTACTTTCCCTATGTACCAGTTTCTCCAGCTACTTACTGTGTTTTCCCACAATTACACTGATCATGTAACTTTTGATCTCATTGTGGTTTTGAACCTCCTGAAATGAGTTTTCTAAACTTTATTCCTAGTGAGCATATTCCTTCTCACATGAATCAAAACTCTGCATTCCTCGTTTTCCACAGAGCCCTCTTCTAACATCCTAGCTTTTCTCTAATGGAAAGAAATTGCCAGTACTGAAATCATTCACATAACATGAGTGTAAAGTTGTGGAATTGAAGACAAAATCTTTTCCCACATACAGTTTAACTTTGGTAATGTTTGATCTAGTCCTGTTCTCTTCAGCTCATTATGTTGAACTTTGTCTGTCTCCAGTAGTTTACCTTCCACGTGAACTCTGAATTGAAAGATCAGTTTTACTCCAAGGAGACATACTCTGTGTACACAGAGAAAATTATTTCAGATGTTTTGTTTAACTTTTACTCTGTTTTGATATTGCCCTGATATGACTTACAATGTGGTAATGTACTGTACATTTCTGTCTTCATAGCCTAGTTCAAATACCAGCATGAACCTGATCTCCAAGAAATTCAAGGCAATGATTTTTGTGAGAAGCTTACGTATCAGCTACTTTTGCCAGCTTACTCTAAACGTATACAAAACTGAATGGAATAAGTGGCCAGAAATGCAACAGGAGCCCTAGTGAGACATCTGAAATCCCAAAAGCATGAATCTGAGCTGACCTACACCGTGTTAGCACTGGAGTAATGCCTCTGACTTTGATGGAGTCACTCATAATTTACAGCTATGTAAGATCAAATATATAGCCCAGAGAACAGAAATGTTAACATGGATAGTCTCAATCAGGGAAGGGATGCTTATTCTAATGGTACCTCCTGTCAGTCAAGTCACAGACTAGATGTCACTTATGAGCACAATGGGTCACCCTATTTCCTCTATTCTGAATATGATTAAAAATATAAAAATAAGAGTTCGAATGGAAAAATGAACTATTATGAAAATAAATAAGAGGACTGAAAAAAGAAATCAGAAAGGAGAATGAAAGGCAACTGCCCTAAACAGCCCCAAACCAATTACATCGGGCTTAGCAGAGGGTGAGGTGGTTGTCTGAGCAGCTTGAAATGAACCGCATTACTCAGCTGCGTTGCAGTAGTCATTTCCTATTTCATTCTCCCAAGGCTTATGCAAGGCTCCTCCAGAAAGTGCCAGGTTTCTGCCAACAGAGGCAACAAGAGCTCCAGGATTCCTCTGCAGCCAAAGCCAATGTGCGATGAGGGCAATCCCCCTCCAAAAGTCGTATATGGTGAAATCAGACCAAGTCTGTGAGAACAGAGCAATGGCCACCTAGGAAAGTTGTGTCAGATATGACTAAATAAATGCAGGGTTCAGACCATCATTGAGCTGGTGGGAAAAATATTTAAAAAATAAAAAAAAATCAGAAGGTTAAATGCTGAATAAGTTATTTTTTCCCTTTTGTGGTAGTTCTGCAGTTTGTTTGACCCTTTATATTCCTTATAATAGGGACCAAAGGTTCAAGTCAAGACATGACCCTTTGTGATAGCTCATGCATAAAAAAATAAATTAATTAATTTAAAAAATAATTAAATGTTGTGGAAAAGAAAGGAGGACCCAAGTTTATCACTCACAAGCTTCAGGGCACTGTTCCTAATTGTGGACCTAGTCTGAGATGTGCAGATAGCTCACGTCAGTTTAAAGATACATGAATTTTGCTCCCTGTCATAGCCTTATGATGCCAAAAAGGACTGCAAGTCACTGCTCATCTGACGGGTTTCATATCTGAAGTCTAAAATGAGATGCTTCTGCTTAAGGTCTGACTATTCAGAGATGCATCTGGAGTCCCACAACTGCTCCTGAAATCAGTGGGAACTCGCTTTAAGCACCTCTGCGATACAGTCTCGGGTCTCTCCTACTGGAATCTTTAAAATTGAAGATACCTGAAAGTTACAGGGCACTTCAAAAAAGGTAAGCTAGAGATGACAGTGCTTTTTAAAGCACAACAATACCTAAGTATGACAAATAATGTAGAAGTGCTAATACTGTTTGGCAATTTCCTGGAAGGTCTGTGGAGTGGAAATTCTGTTCATTAACTGATGCTGATACCTCCAGAAGTCATTTCAAATTGTTTTCCTGAAATAAGACTTGAACCCAGATGGCAGAGGTGAACCCGCTTCGCTAGCCTCCAACAAGAGATGTTATAGGTTCAGAAACAATATTTATATTCCCAAATCTCTCTCTCTCTCTTTCTTCCTCTCTCTCTCTTTTTTAAGCTTATTAAAATTAAAAGCATGACCTGCCACATCACATTACATCAAAACATGATGTAACTTCTTAATTTAAAAAAAAAAAGTTTTAATTTATGATGTTGCATTATGCCACAAAAAGCTTTTGTTTTCCCCAGAGTAACTATAAATTTTTTACAGCGACTGTTTATCCAGTACCTTTGGCAGACTGAAACAGTGAGCGTTGGCAAAAAGCAGATATTTAACAGCTACTGACGAACAGCTTATGAATCACCAGGCTTGAATCCTGGCACACATCTCCCTGTAGGTACCTTGCTGAAATGACCCATCTTCCCTTCAGCTCCTTCTAACTGCAGTAACATTGAGTAACTGACTGATCCCGAACCACTAAACTTGATCTACTTTATCCTTTCAAGCCTTTATATTTTTTGAGGAAAGTACTCTTGCTGTAAAAGTGCCACTGAAATAACATTCCAGGAGCACAATGTCCAGCACTGATTTGCCACTAATTCTGAACAACCCAGAAAAATATTTTCTTTATAACATTTGACATTAATTTGTTTTTCATTTCCAGATAGAAAAGGGATTTGCAAAATAGGTTTACCTACACATTTATGTAGGTGGGGGGAACTGAGACATAAGCAACAGAAGATGTCATCAGTAAAGCCAAAAATAAACAGGTCCTGGTCTGCTCTGCTGGTCCATGTATCTTCCAGATGATGAATTCATAATGTTTGGCTTCTTGTTTTACATGCTTCTGCAAGGCAAGCTGGACTATCCACGAAAGGCTGTATATTTGTTGGCCTGGATCTCTTACAGTCTGTTTACTTGTCTGGTGCTTTTTCAGGGGATTGTTCTGACTAAAGCAAGGGAAGTTCAATGGAACTTGAGAACAAGGACTACTTGTCCGAACAAGGATTTTCGAGCCCTTGGTTTCCGAACAATTGCTTTATAGGGTGGACTGTGTACCATAAATCTGTAGCATAGGAGTATGGTCATATTGGCTTAACTGTCTTACTAAGACTGGACTTATTTCTCATACAACTGATAAAAGTCATAATGCTGTCAGTCCTTGGTATACTAGCTGTACTCAACTTTTACTGCTTCCTAGTTCCATGATCCATAGTGCACATATGGGGTATAAAGCCTTCTTAAAATCATAGCCCCTTAACTAAAAGCTTTTTCTGAGAGATAGTGTGGTTTGAATTATATTGAGGACCCCAAATAGCAATTGCTCTTGGGCCACTGCCTTTGAAATAGATCTATTTTAGGTAGATATTCCTCTTTTGAAGGGGTACTTCTACCCCTATTTATGAGCCTCAGTGTTTGTACCAAATAACCTAACAGCAGAGTGAAAGCTCCCTGAGTATTTTTGATGTAGACGCACCTCGATGATCTTCATCACATGTGATGTGTTGGGTGAAAAAGGGCATTTTTTTCACCGTTATGTAGCTGTTGCTTTGGGTGCCCTACTGAGAACCAAACCAGAGGGCTACGACCTGTTTTGCATTAAAATCCTAGAAGACTGTCTATTTTATCTCTAAGTTGAGTAGGGGAAAGCTCAAATCTAAACAAATGTCCCTGGCTCAGGAAGCCATTCCTTGTGTCATTTCTAGTAACAAGCACCTATTACATTAGTAGCATCTCTCCCTGTGACAGATTGGTGAACTAACCTGGATTGTTTTTACTTGAGATCAAGTCTTCAGTATGGTTCAGTGAGTGTGGTGCAAACAATTGCACCAGCAAAACTGTTAGAGCACTGAGTCTGAAATAAGCTGGGGGGCTGTTTAAAACATTTGTTAACCCTCTCCTAAAATGCAGTTGACACAACACACCCTAAGACAGTAAACTCTACCAGTAAGAGCATGATGGAAAAGAGAAGTCTTAGGTGAAAACATTGGATGAAGCTGAACTAAAGACTCCAAACTGTCTTGTAAATATGGAAGGAATTATCTTGAAGGAATCTCCTGTTGACTTGACATAAGCGGTTTCATGTTTTATGGCATCTTACATTATTGTTTAAATTTGTTTCAGGAAAGAAACATACTTTTTAAGGTCAGGCATACAGATTTGTTAGATGCTAAGACACCTGAAAAGCAAGAATACAGATTGTAGGATGAATATTTTACAGAGTAATTATTTAAATATATTCAAGTATGAACATCTTTAGATCCTAAATTTAGTATTCCTGAAGAATATAATCTTACAATAAAATCTAGCCCACTCTCCTATTGTTCATACCATTTCAATTTTTTGTTTGAATTAGCTGTTTCGAAAATTTGTTTTTTGATTGTTTATTTAAAGTGCCCCAGACATTTTTGATATTTTTGCCCCATCTTTAATTTTTGGCATGGCACTTGCACATATGTTGATGATGATACGTCTGAAGTTCTCAAAACATGATCACACACCATAGCTGGTGTGAGAACCACTCAGATGTGATGTGCAGAGGAAGCTCCCTGTTTCCTATAGATCCCTTGCCTAAGCTGCAGGTTAAGGGCCTGCCTGGGGCACAGAGCAGCAACCCAGCAACTGCAAGATCCTTCAGCAGCTCTGCGTGGCTCAGGAGCACTCTGTGCATTGAGCATTCCCTTGGCTGGAGATCAGGATCAAGGCTGAGACACAGTGCCTGGAGGGGTCTGACTGAAAGTGATGATGGGTGTAAGTAGTTAAGATATAAGTAGTTGATAGGTCTGCAGATGCTGCTGGATGGAGGGAGTTTGGATTAATATGCAGAAAAAGTGAGAAATGAAGGGTTGGCTACATACCTTCATGTCTACATGCACCTTGGAAATTAATAGTAAAAAAAAAAAAAAAAGTTATCAAGCAGTAACAGCTGCTATTGCAAACTCCTTAGTAACCTGGATTTGGGGAACCTCATTGCTGTAACAGAGATAAGAAATCCACTGGCTGCCATGAATTACTGGATTATGAATCACATTTCCAGGTAGGTTCTCTAGATCTGCACACCAAGTTGAACTCAAATTTTAGGGTTCAGCTGTTTTGTTTAGGCATTGTAAACAACGAGATCTCTGAGTTTTATACCTCTGATTGTACCTCTCATACCTCTGAGCTTTATGTCTTGTTATATGGATAGAACAGGCACCTGCAGAAATGTGAGCCTGCCTGCATCTGGCTGAAAACAACACAGCTCAAATTTAACCACACCTGCTCTATTTAAAATCAGTAGTAAATGTTTAATACACTGAAATTGAGATAGGCTCTATTATGTTACGTAAAGATATTATAGAATCGCACAAAGATCTTTTGTTATTCTTGGCATCATGAAGCCTAATAAACAGCTTCAATTTCAGTTTTAAGTACGGACACCTTATTGTCAAGTGTTGGCTGTGATATATTTATCAATAACCTTTTCTGGCCACCTGTTTTCCTGCACGGTCTTTGGTGTGTCCTGACTGAACCTTAGCTTGCTCAGCTATATTCCAATATTCTTACTCTGGATCTTCTGCTCTACTACCCCACCAGGATTAATGTAACAAAGGTAAGAACTGAACTTCCTCTGTATGCATCATGCACACTTACTACTTTATATTACAGCCAGTTGGACAGAAGTAGATACAGCAAAACTTCAGTCTGCTGTGTGACCATTTTCTTGGAAAGTCCTTGTAAAATATTTTCAGGGCATTCACATGTTTCCAATACCATGAAATCAGAGGAATAGTGATGGCAGAAAATGGGAGAGTCTAAAGAACAGGCCTATTGCAATGGGTGCACATACACTATTCCTACATTTCAACTCATTCAGACACAAGACACAGAAGCTTCTAATTCATTAGAACAGTGCTGAACACACAAATGACCACATGTGCAGTGAGGTCATCATTAAATATATTGACACAAAGATAATTCTGCAGTAAAATCATTACAGAATTGAAAATATACTTGTGTATAACCCACTACTTCTAGATCTCACACTCCTGGATGGGGGTGTTCGTGCTGGGAGGTTATGGTACTGCTCATTGTGAGTAAAGCTAAAAGAACCTGAGCCACAAAACATACTATGTTCTGCTTTGTTTCTGGAGTGTTCAAAACTAAATCTGCGGACAAGACTAAAAGAAAAGAGCTATGAACTCTTAAAAACAGCAATTGTGTAGAACTCATGAGACGTTGTTTTCCTAAGTGATTTATTTGGTTCATAAGAGGATGTGAGTGTGAATTTATCCCATTCTCCTATTTTGAACATACAAATTTGGAGATGCAGTCAATTGTCTGGTGTGGGGATACAGACAACAAGCTAATTCCTGCAAGTAAATTTGGAGATGCAGTCAATTGTCTGGTGTGGGGATACAGACAACAAGCTAATTCCTGCAAGTTGTGCTCACAAAATTAATGGCTGTTTTAAAAAAAAGAAAGAAAGAGAAGGAAAAAAAAAAAAAAAAAAAAAAAAAAAAAAAAAAAGAATGAAAGAATGAACAAACAGCCCACACTTCATTAAGTTGTCTCTAGCTTAGTTTGTCAGGGATTTGTCTGAACCAGAGTATGTTCTTCATAAGAAAGCCTCTAAAACAGCAAACTGATACCCAGCTCCAGTTGCTCACCTACTTTTTTAGTTCTGTGAAGTAAAACAAGAATTTTTCATTCACCCAGTCAAAAAGTATAACCAAAGTTATCCCTCATCCAACATTTTGCTCTAAACCAGAAAAGGTATTTTTTGGCAGACCTGTTACCTCACATGTGCTTTTCCTTTTGCCTCTTAGCCTTGCTTGGCTTCTCCTGCCCTTGTTTCTGCAGTGTACAACTGCTGCAGTTCAGTTTCCTGTAGCTCTGCCTCATCAGGTGCCCTCTCTGCATCAGTTTCAAGTAGTGTGCAAAGATGATGGAGATGGTGCAAGAGAGCTCCAAAACTTTCATACCTTCAGTATTATCTGATGTCTTTCTGGCTAGTAAGTCTACCTAATTTGTGAATATCTGGCAGGCATTATATCCTTCATAGCAGGTATTGTACATGTATTCTTAAATTTTCCACTGTAAAACATAATACTGTAGCCAGAGAATGATCACATACACTGTATCATGACCTAGGTCTAGGTTTTGTATCCCCAGTTTTCTGGAAGTAATAGGTAGGAGTCACAGAAGAAATTCTAGTCTCAGCCCTCCAGGGTGTTAATCAAAGGTTTCCATGTGTACCCTTGTCTTATTTCTTCAATTTGTATCCCTGTTACCATGCCCTCCACTAACCTGAACTGAATCTTCCCTAACAAAAAGGCCCTTTCTCAACAAGATTAAAAGCAGAATACTTTAAGTAATTTAGAATACAAATGTGCAATGAAATATCAGCCTGGGTGATGCTATGAGAAGGAAGAGTGTACAGTATGCTTTATGTGCTTTTAGCTGTTCTACCCTACACTGCAACATGTGCACCCACTCTTGTAACCTTTACCGCTGTGCAAAGATGATCTGTCATTTCTACAAAATATATATATATACACACGCTTCCACTGAGGCAGCTTTGAATCCTTACTGCCCTCTAGAGAAATTCTACTAGAAAAGCTCAAACTGACCGAGTCAGCAAAAAATGATTGCAGTCCTAATCTTAATGAAACTAGCTGCGTACAGTGTCTGTAACAAGATCTGTAGACACAGAAATGCACCTAAAAGATCCTTTTTCCCAAGCCTCTTACTATCACTTGGAGTTGTGGCCAGAGTTGAACACACTTACCCCATTCACTGTATGGGATAGTTCAGCAAAAATCCAACTTTGTTATCCATGGATTTAAGTGAAAAAGAAACAAAGATTTTTTTTTAGCGAAATTACAAGGGCAAAAGCTACCTTATGTTCTCACCACCAAGGGAAGCTTAAATTATTTAAACTACACATCTGTAACTATACGATTTTACTATTCACACTTCCATCCCATGTTAAACAAGGCAAGCCCAGTGGCAGTGGATGAAACCGGCAGTGACTGAGCGCAGAGTCATGCTGCAAGGCTTGAGCGAGCCCTCTTGAAGAGGCTGAACACCTCCTGCGTGGGTAAGTGAGCTCATAGAGGTACACTTGTACGTGCACTTATAATTGCAATCCCAAGAACATCTTTTGATAAGACATAATTCTGTAAAATCAAAGCATCAGAAGACATGGCAAAATGTATTTTACCATGCCATGAGAGTATTATTTCATCTGGTTGGGCCAACACAGGCAAAACAGCAATCGCAGTGCTAGCAGTGAGTGATAGCACAGAGCAGCTAAGAATATATTCAGCAAACCGAGATCCTATTTCTACGCTGACAAAAAAAAAAAAAAAAAAAAAAAAAAAAAAAAAAAAAAAAAGGAGAAAAAATGTAGTGTGTGTCTGTATGTGTATCTTTTTTCCAAAACAGCTGAATCCCACTATCCTGCAGAATCTTATTCATTTAACAGGCTGTCAGTGCAAGTTCCTTTACATAGCTCTGCCTTTTCATGCCTAATGGGGTTTGCCCTGTACCAGACAAAGCCTATTAAACATGGCAGAGAAACAGATGATTTTAGAGGCTACTGGAAGCAGTGTTGACTGCCCTCTAATGGCATGTGTGCCATGAACACACTCCTGAGCTCCCCAGGGACTCCTGCCAGGATGCCAGCAGGTTACAGATGTTTTCTCAGGGCAGCTCTGTCCCAGGGTTCCTGGTATTTGCTGCAAGAGAGCTGTTCGTATCCAGAGCAAAAATGAAAATTTTGTATCATGCATTCAGTTTTTCAGGCCATGACGGCAGGATAGAGTTAGAAAACGCAGCCCAAAAGCAATGTCAGCACAGAGCAGACGTACAGTCAAGGAGGCCAACGAACTGAAGGACTTGCTTGCTTGCAAACAAAAATTGTTCGGTGTGTGAGTACCAAGCACTGTGCCTTGCAGCTAATCTGTCAAGGGAAAACTTTAAATACTGACTAGTGTCAGCATTTCAATTCTTTTGATTCTACGGGGGGAAATTCAAAAGGTTTATAGGATCGAATTAAAACATCTAACTCTGAATGTATGCTGAGTCAGAAGTTTGCAATTGTTTACCCATCTGGTTTGCATGTGTGCAAATAGGTATGAGTTGGGCATTTAGTCTGGAAGTCTATTGAATAATTGTAAAAGCAACTGTATGTATAGAAGAAAATCACACACACCCCAAGCCTGTGAGTGCAAGCCAAGTAAGAACCATCACTCAGAGACCAAAAAAAAAAATAGTGACTATTGTTATTGTTGTTTTGTTACAATAGCACTAAGGGATTCAGCATGCCTCTCTCTACAGTCAGATTCTCTTATACTCTAAATAAATCAGGGCAGAAAAGGAAGTTAAGGCTTCAGTAGTAAATTACTCTGCCCACTCTCTAAGCAGTTCTGTAACAGTGCTTCAAACTGAACCCGGATCTTTGAATCTCAGGTTTTCCCTTATTCACCAGACTTTCAATGTCCTTTCACATTCTTTGTTTTTTATAGTACTTTACTCACCATACTGTTTTAAATCCCTGAATCAGGGAGTGAAGAAGAAGCACAAATATTTTTCTTTCTAGGAAAGATTATTCAAAATTTTCAGAAATGTGGAAAAAAAAAAATCTGCTCAGAAACAAACAATCTTTGCTCTTGGGCAAAGATGCAGTCAAAATTTTACTTTATCCAAATCATATCTTTTTCCATATTTTTGTTTATTGTCATTTGAATTGATTCTTTCTCCTCTTCTCCCTGAGTAATCCAGAGGTCTGCAAAGGACAAATTGAGGCTTTGAGCTAACAAACAATTTTAGTAATATTTTTATTTATTTAACCAGTATGTTTGCTCTGAAATGAAGGTTTATTTGCTCTCTGAATAGTGAACATCATTCTGACTTTGTTATTGCTGCTTAAAAATCATTTCTGAAGATCCTGTGCACAGGGGAATATTTTCCCCAGTGTACTGATATTCTGCAGGTGAGTACTGGTACGGAGACCGAATAAGTGCTAGTTCAGAAAGCGAAATTACTATTCCCAGAATGTGTCCTGCTTGTACAAATTAAGTTTGTATGCTCAGGTGTAAGAAGATATTCTCCAGGGCAACACTTAGCTGCACAGGCAGGAGGTTTGATGGTGCACACAGGAATAGTCCAGGACTATCTGCCTCCACTTAGAAGGAAGTTGATGCCAAGGGGGGAAGAGGACACAATACCTCTGTGTCTTCATCACTAGCAAATGGCATTCCCAAACATCAGTTTTCAAATGGATCACAATTATTCATCTGCAATTTGGCCAATGCAAGCATGCAATGGGGAATTGTAAAAGTTGGTGGCTGCTGTTGAATTAAATGTGATGTGGAAGTATTACCTAGTTCCCACCTACCCAACCAGAACTTCTGGATAGTGTTTTGCTGTGCTGGAAAAAGTATTCCAAATATTCTAATATCTAATTTATTGTCCTCTCACTATTTGGCCTGTGGAAGGAAAATCTATGGCAGAGGAATTTTAAACAAGCAACCAACATCATGGAGGCATCTGAACTCTCATCTCCACCACTGGTGAGTGTCTTAACTACATGTGGTTCTGAGGTTTATTTTGCTTTTCACCAGAAAATCTACTTGAAACTCAAGAAGTCTTCCTGACAAACATTTATTCAAAACTGACACATTTTTACACAATAAATTGTTCTAAATAATCAGCAATTTCCAATGAATTCCTGTTAAGGCAAAAATAAGTAAATAAATAAAATAAAAAATAAAAATACCCAGATAGCTCCATTAATTGACCTATTCCTGCACTGCTAGCAATAACTGGGACATGCTCAGCTCATTAAAAGGACCAACTGTACACAGAGGAGCTTTGGTCTGGTACCACTGTCTGTCAGCAATCCATTCTCTACTATGCCATCCTATCAATAGTCACTGTTGGCTTTAAAATACTTTCTCATCTTTTCATTACTAAATTTTAATCTTTTCCTAAAACCCTTCTAACCTGATTAATAAGGAAAACAGCAGTCTGGTAACTTGTTTGCAAATCAGATAAGTTTTCTGTGGCAATTCCTACTGATCTTAAAACAGCAGGACACTCCTCCATTGGTTTCCCAGCATAGCTGAATTTCTGATTAATCTTATCACTGGCATGTTTCAAACAAATGTTTGTGTTTATGTCAGACGCAGACTAAATTGGATACTTCAAGGTGGTGTCCAACAAAGGCAACTTTTCTTCATGACAGTTGTCAGTCGCATTATTCAAAACAACTTAATAGTATAAGACTTCTTGCACAAAAATGTAACATGCTGATAATATCCCTTCCCTTCTTTTCTATCTTTGTCTCTCCCCACTGTTATAATTCTGCCCTCTAGCTTTTTCCTCTGCTGAGCTTTCAGACACCTTCCTAATCAACATTAGACACGGTGGGTAAATGGGTGGCACCAGCGTGGGTAAAAGGCTGTATTGTAATTTCAGGGGCTCTACAATCATCCTCATGAGTGACGGCACAACCCAAGCAGCAAATAGAGCTCACTCACTCTGGGGAAAAACTATTTGATTTTAGATATAAATGTATTTATATTTATGTGCATATGTTTGTACATGTCAAATATTAATTTCTTTTATTCTAATTTTTTTTTTCTCATTTGCATGTCCCAGTGCCGCATCATTCTGGGGCTAGGGTGGCTTTGCACAAGCCTTGCCTTTGAGGTACCACAGAGCAGCATCACCCCAGGGCAGAAGTTGTGCCTCCAAAAGGCCCAATTCTCACTCTGTTCATTCTTGTCAAAGGCAACGGTATGATTCTGTCGCCCTGCATGCCAGCCAGTCACCTCTATGAAGTATTTGGATACATGTTTCCAGGTGCAGAAGAGTCAGCCTGAGTGTGCCAAGCTGAACAGACGTGCCAAAGGGTGTTAAACCCCTTGCCATACATGCACAAGGAGGTTTCCTGCAAGTACCTCGTGCAGAGGAGAGCAAACCCGGGAGCACACCCTGATCCAGGCAATGATCCCATACAGGTGCTGTCAGAGCCTAGACATTTCAGTGTGACACAAACCACCTCAGATTATTAGCTCCTATAATTTGTAATGCTTGTAACAAATCTCTCCATTCCTTTTGATCTGTATATGAGATCCTTTTTGTCCTTAACAGAGAAAGAACCACCTTGCTTCCCTCAAAGCTATGCTGGAGGCCACCAGGTTAATTCCATGCTATATGCATGGATAAAAAGGAGGATAAGAAGAAAGAGCAGGTCATGAAGTGGCAAAGGTTGAGAAGCCCGGCTTTAAACACTTTATGGGAAATTGTAAAACTTCTAAACAATTTAATAGATTAACTTCCCCCTTCAGTGGCATCAGTAAAACTGAATTATCATCCTCACTTTTAACTGATGCCTAGACCCAATACTCATCCATCAGGGATCATTTAGTGATAAAGCAATCAATCCTGCCATGGTGCAGAGGGGACAAACTATGCAAGATACCATCACCAAATATCCTTTCCACCCCAAAGCATTCTGTGAGTCTTTGTCAATGAAAGTGCATTTGTCTAGTCTTATCTGTTGCAGTATACGTGGAATACAAAGGAAGAAAGTAAAATATGCATTTGATGTACATGTGCAGATGCCAGACGTACAATCAAACCAAAGAGGACTGCCTTTTTCCGAGGAACTGAACACAACACCTGAAAACCAACAACTGCACCACTACCTCAGGTACCAAATTAAAAGAAATTAAAGCAAACAAGAAGCTGCCTTAAAATTATGCTGTGACATATGAATGACTGGAGAAAAAAATGAGAAATAATGTTGGGGGGAAAAAAGAGTTTGTCATACCCTTGTTTTAGGAAGTCTTCTGTGAATTAAGCCAGAATCTCTAACATACTGGTCATCTTTTCATCATCACAGTACACAAATATACTTCCCTTTTAATATTCGTGACTCCTCACCAGTAACAGCTTTGTTTATTGATGTTTCTTTTTCAGATATATTAAAGATTTATATATGTATTAAGAAGATTACAGATCAGAAAGAACTGGGAAAAGTTACAAAACTTTAATTATCTTAATAGACAATTGGATTTTATGAAAGATGCATATAGTGTACAACTATCATTTGAACAAATAACCTACAAGTAATTTTTTTAGTAGAAATGTCCTCACTTTGGGTAAGAAATTATCCATTTCCACTGAAAAACAGATAGATTTTTAGCAAAAGGAAATTGTGTTTGAAAGAAACCTATAATAACTTATTTTCTAAAACAGAAAGACGTGTTTAATTTTCCTGCTAAATGTAATAAAATTTCTATATGATTTTGCTATAGGGTAAAAAATTTGAATAAGTCTATTTCTCAGCCAGATATGAACTTTACTAAGGCTGAACTCCTTGGACGTTTTGTGAATGATAATGTGGCTACTGGAGCAAGATTAAACCTTTACCTACAGCTGCCTAGGAGTTAAGATTTTCATCAACAAACACGTTCAGGCTAAATTAAGAGGTTCAGTATATCACAGTTCTTCAAAGGCTTTGTAGTTGTTCAACTCCAATTAAAAGTCAATTGAATTGGACACTTAATTCCCATTTGTGCCTATGAAAATCTCTCCTCTATAATGTACTGTGTTACAATTCTAGGCTGAAATGCAAGTACACAGAAATGTATAGAGAACACAAGGCATGTACTTATTTTAAGGAATAAAGAAAATAATAGCTATTATATCAAAAATTTAGTATTTACAATATTTAACGAAGAATAACACCTTAGCTGTATACAAATAACAGGAAAGAAAAAGAAAATATTTTTCTATTTCTATTTGTGTATGTGATCTATCGCTCAAGTAGCCATATGATTTTATGTCCAGAAAATTTGTTTTATATTGCTTATCAAAGCAATGAACTATCTAGCTCTAAGTAGCACATGTAAGACAGACAGCAGAATCCAGACCTGCTGGTGACACATAACTGAATATCTTTTTAAGGGAATTAACAGGGGCAGCAACTGTAGTGGGGCTCAGAAGTGATGACAATAGAAAATTCTTCAGGGAAGATAGTCTGACTCTGCAAAAAGTTACTGACATATGTAGGACAGTAGAAACAGCCCAAGAGCAAATACAATTCTTCCTATCTGAAGATCATGTGGTGAAATGTATCAGAAGGAATTACAGGAGATGAAAATGCAAAGGTAAAACACAACACAGAATTGCAGCCTCCTGCTGCAGAGAAAACTGACATATCACATAAATGTGGGCTGAAAGAAGCCAGCAGTGCCAGAACTACAGGAGACATTAGAAAGGTCAAAACCTGATATTCAGTCTCAAATACTTTTGAATTTGCATGTGAGTCAGGCTCAAGTGACCAGACCAAAACCCACGCTGGAGGATTTGATTTTGAGACAGATTCAAACATGGAGGGACTTTATTTCATGCTTCTGACTTGGATATGACTGAAAACTCCCAGCAGCAGCCACTCCCAGCAAGTTTCTGTCATTTGGGGCTGAAACACTGCAAGAAATGTTCCTGAAGTTTCAATTCCCCAGACTAGTCTTGAGCAGAGCAAGCTGCCAGTTTGTGCACCTAGAGCGGATGACAGCAATCCTAATACAAATTTTAGGCTTGTAAATCAGTTAAAGGCTGGGAAAAAAAAAAAAAAGTCAGGTGGCTACTGTACTATTCCCATCCTCCTCCTCTGTTACTGAGTAGCATTGGTATCAACTGCCATGTCTGCCAAAGAGCTGCTAATAGGAAGCGACCCGCTAGGACAGCTGGGTCTTCCTTAGCTCTCTCCACCCTGGCTGTGCTCATGTGAAGTTTCTGAAGGTTACTTCTTGAGTGGTTTTGTGTGGTTTTATTGAACCTGCAGATAAACTGTCTTTAAAGAGACTGTCCAGGCTCTGAGAACAGAACAGTAATTATAAGGAAAATGAATTGCATCCTTGAGGTGTGACCCTGTTGAGCACCATTTGGTCAGCGGCAGTTTCAGATGCTAACAGCATGAATAAGAAGTCAGCCCCACTGTCTGAAGAATTATTCCTGCAAGCTTGAAGCCTAGCTTTAGACCTGGCAGTGTCAAGCAATAAAAACCTTCTGCTATCAGTATGCTGCTCGCTCAGTTTATAGAGGATGCTAACCAACACTTCTCTGTAGAGCAAACACACAAAGCATTTCCTAATCCTGCTAACCAGTCACTGGCTGATACGGATTTCTGCCAAGAATTTGTTAACAATGTAAAGCAAGCTGGAGAAGCAGAAGCATACGCAGTAATGTAAAGTATGGCATAATATACAGGCGTTCTCTCTTGGCAAACAGAAAGGCACAGGCCTATAAGCAAATAAGTGAAAACCTCACAATTAACACAAATGGGGCAAAGAGAAGCATGCGAAGATAAGGAAAATTACTTCTCCAGAAAATCAGACAAGAACCTGGTTGTCATGTTCCTTGGTTGTGGGTGTTCGTTACCTGGGGGCAGCCTGGATGCTCACCCAAGGCAACACAAACTTCAACTGGGGGCCTGTGGAGCTCAGGGCCTATCCCTGTTGTGCCGCACCATGACTTCACTTTCTCCAAAAAGAGCGAGGCAGGAGGAATGTGAAGAGAAGACATGGAGCCCGCAGAGACCCTGCAGGAGCCTCCTACAGCTCCTGGGCTTGTTCCAGCTCTGCGCTGCCAAAGGCAGGCCTGTGTGTCAAACACCCAGTTTATATCCAGCCGATTTTAATTGTTGTTGTCACCAAAGTGTGAGCAGTATCTATATGCATAGGCTGTCATAAAATCTTACTCCAATATATCTTTCTGCAGGCATCTTGTTTCTTAAATAGTTCCCCTGGCCCCCATGCAACCCTTCCTGAGATCGACTTTTCAATATTTTTAACAGTATTAGAACTGACTTCTTGCCTCTGTGCATACAAATGATTGTAACTATCCTTGTTTATCACCGCGACAGATATGTGCACTAATTAGATATTCTTTTATACATCCAACCATATCCCAACTCTTTGGAAAACCAGAGCCTCCATTAAGCTCATCAGAATGGCTTCTTCCTCTCAGAGCACCCTGCATCCTGCCGCTAGGAAATGGTGATGCTAAGGGTACAAACGAGTGTTGGTCAAGAAAGCCACTATAAAACAAGCTTTTGAAGTGTGATGATTAATAAATATGAGGTAAAACTTACAACTAAGACAATGAACAATGGGCAGGAGGCAACGTGTCGGTGCCCACCACACTAACGACCTCTGTGCAATTAAGAGAGCCAAAAAGGCAGGAGGCCTGCCCGCGTGGCTCAGGGCCAAGGAGCCTGACTGGCCCCCCTGGACTGGGTGCAGGACCACGAGGTGGAAACTCGCAGCAGCTACCACACCACTGGCAGGTAGCATGTCCCTGCTTGCCTGTGTGGGGGGAAGCTGCAGCCTGTATTTGCCCCACACATTCTGGCAGCAAAAGTGAAAACCGATGAGAATGATTAAAGGCCTTCCAGGAAAAATGCTAGGCTGGTATTTCTCTGTGCCAGGCAAGTTCGTGCACTTGAGACTTGATGTGCTTTGCAAGAAAGCAATGAAGTGATCCTCACTGAGTGCTCCAGACCCTCAAAGGGCTTGGGATCGCACCGTAAAAGTCTGCAAGGCACTTCCATGCATGCATCACTCCTAAATGAAATGTTTCACTGCCTTCAGTGTGAGCAGTGGGTTGGGAATATGACCAGTTGGCCTCCAGGACACTAGTAAGGTTTTGTTCTCAGAAGTGTGCTTCACCAATCTGTTGGGATGACTTGTAACCTCCACCACGAGCAGGTAGTGGCACCAGTATGGACCAAAGTTTGTGTAAACTTGCATGTGAAAGCAAAAGGTACAGAGAAATACCATTGAAAGAGGATTTGGGGGAGCAATCAGTATTCATTTGCTTTTCAAGCAAAGAAAACACAAAAATTTCTGCTACTTGAAGCTGATGGGAATGATGTTGACCCTTTAGGAACACAGTGTAGAGCGGGGGCACTAATATTGCCTGGGTAGCCCCTGAGAAATGGAAATAATTTTTGGTAACTGATCAGGAGCAACAAATATTAAGAGATGTAAATTTGCAAAACACCTTGGGGGCAGTTTTTGTATATGTTTACTACTCATAATCAACTGTAGATTTCCATAAGCACTTTGTTTCTCTTCAATTAAGTAAGTAAGAGCCAACTTTTTCAAAGTGCTTCATATATCCCACTCCACTGTGATACCATTGCTGAGCTGTTCTGGGAATCTGGCTTCAAGGGTGTGTGGTGAGTACTTGGAAAATATAGCTCATTCAGATCTGGCAGGCTGATTTTGAAATAATATCTGGAAATCCACTTGCAACATTCGTAATAACTATCCATTTGCATATACAAAAGCTGACTTTTGGCATGAATATAATTTTCTTATACCTTTCCTTTGAAAAGCTGATCCAGATTGTCTAGACAAGTCAAAACTCTCATTTGTGCTTAATATTTTATAATTTATTATTTTTCTTTCCTTTCTGATTAATTTGGAAATGTCCTTTAGTAAGATCTAGCGATAGGAGGATATAGTTTTATAGGCTCCTCTCATAATCCCACTGCTCTGGTCATACATATTCTTGGAGTTTGCTCTAAGGCTTACACATGCAAGGTCAGCCTCATAAATCTAATCCTACCTATTGGCATGCACTTTTAGATACCCACAGTTCATCTGAACACACACTTATGTATTTGCTTTTTATTTCTTCCTACACTTTTTTCAATAGTAACATTGTAAATGTTTAAGCAGGTGAACATTGCAGACCTAAAAAAATTTTAAACGTGCCATGTATTTGTTAAGTACAGATACCACAGCAAGACACTGAGACACCTTTATAAAGGTCTGCCTCTCTTTTTCTCTCTCTTTCTTACTCAAAATACAGCTTTTACAAATATGACATCTTAAAATTAAAATGTTTGTTCTGAAAGTAATAGCCAAGATCATAGAATATTTATGTGATCATTAATATTTGAATTTTGAATAATGCATACTTATATATTTCCAGAAGAATGCAATGTGTGTTTTATACCAAAGTCATATTATTTTCCCTGTAACAAGTACAGAAGCAGCTTTATTTGCATTACTCACTTGCAGGTATGTAATATCAGATTACACCGTTAATTCTCTTTGTTTCCTGAAAATATCTATGTCAGACTTTTTTACTTTGCACACAGGAGGTCCACATTTTAAAAAGTCTATTTTAAATGTAGAAAAGTTCTGTGCACTTAGCTGATAATTTTGAAGCATTGCAGTTGCTTCTTTTCTCATTCCTTCTATTCCATTTTTTGCTAATCGTATCTGCTTCTTACTAAAAGTTTGTCTCTGGGAAATCTAAACCGTATTCTACTACTTCATCAGTAATGGTACATCTCTGTGCAAGGACACACAGCTGCATATCAAATAGCACTTCCATGCTCTGCCATTCACCATCACTCTTCAGGATGCTGATGAATGTGCTGACAGACAAAGGCTAATTGGCAGACTGTACGGAGTCAGTTTTTGATGACACAGTAGAAATAATAGGAGACGGAGCAGGTAACAAAGAAAGTTTAGAGGGAATAATAAGAGAGATAGACAGAGAGCATTTCATGCAAGGAGAGCATGCAGTCTGAAATACAGCAGGAGGGAACTGAAGAACCCTAGAAAAGCACAAAAGCATGAAAAAGGGAAAAGGTAAAGGGAGCTAACTCTGCACTTACTGCTGTTACAACAGAGACAGAGAAATACTCTGATATGAAACTAGGTTTGGCATTGCACTTTCGAAACTGTGATCTGGTTCACTGAAATGTTTGCTGAGGGTTCATGAACCTACTAAGCAAATGTGAAACCATTTTTGTAACAGTCTGGACTTGATATGTATTTTGTATTTCAAATTGTGGGCTCAATACGTAGCAGTTTCACCTGATTTTCACCTTGAGATTTGGGTGCAGACACAGTAGTTACAAATGCAAACATTCATTAAAATATTTTTCTGGACTTTCATTGGCAAGCATAATTACAGTGCATGATTTATAAGCACAAATGTGCTCATGATTTTTCTGAAGCTACTTGTGAACAGGCAATTCTGAGGGGGTGAACACAGAGTTCATTTGAACGCAGTCCAGCTTTTACACTCTGATGCTGGAGCTGTCTCTTACTCTGGACTTCTACAATACCTACCTTCAGGATAGCTGATAGGGTCTTTGAGCCCAACAGTAAAACTAAAAACCTGAGGAAGGAATTTTGTGCAAATACCACCTGAGAAAGATGTTGCAAAATAAAACATATCCACTAAATCGTCCGCAGACAGTTCTTCTTTAATTACAACTGATTGGTAAAGGATTTCCTATACTCAACTCTGTAATTAAAAGAAGATTGACAATCTCTAGTGCATTCTTCCATTAGAAACCTTGTATGTATTTCCAAAGCTGAATTTTGAGCCTTTAGAAAATGAGTTTGAAATATTGGCTAACATAAATCACCTTTTATCCACTACTCTCAGCAAAACTATACAAGTTGAGGACACGGACTTGTATTTCTAACTCTGTTATATGCATAAGTGCCTACTAGCAGGAGCGTGGGGAGGGTTTACATGTTCAGTCAACTAATGGATGTAGCTGACTGAAGAAGAACATGTGCATTTGAATTAGTTGAGCCTGTAGCTGAAATCTTTTGCCTTGGTTTCTGAAGGGAGGCAGAGTGCTTGGCATCTCCTTCCCCAGCATAATCCCATTGAGCCAAGCAGACTGTGGCCAGACAAAGCGTCTGCACTGCTGACTGCACACTTCCATCAAGGATTTAGACATCTCCCTGATCTAAACTCCAGTTGTAAATAATTGCAGGTTAAAAATGCACCCTTAATTATTGTTTTCCTCAGGCATTTGATCCTTTCTTTCTTTTTTATTATAAAGCACAAACATGAGAAATATACCATCACACACTGCTCTGTGCACAGAGACATTTTACCCTTTAAGCCTCAAAAGAAATATCAGGCCCAAGTAAATGACCTAATTACTGTGTCTCCACTCAGTGTGTCCCAGGTCAGTGTGCAGATATATGCATAAAGGCAATAGCAGCTTTGGGAAATAATCTTCTTGATTATAAAGCAGCCATATACATGTTCTCTTGTGTGCAAATGTGTGCCACTCACCAAAATGTAATCACACAGTCTTGCTGATTAGGTATCTGAAGGGATGGGGAATATATGTATCTTTATGAGGGATTTTTTAAGCTATTTCTCTCCTAAATCACAGGGAACATCAAGTCAGTGGGAGTTAGCCTCTTAAAATCTGACCCCTTGCATCATGCATAATGTCTTTAAGTTAGATATTTTTCTCAAGAACATATTCCAGAGGTAGCTGAATAATGCTCTCTGATAAATGTAGCAAATATAATCCATGCATTTACTTTTATTTTCCAGTGTCCATAATTTTCAGGTTTATTGTTCAAAAATGAGCATTTACTACTGCATTGAGGTAACTAAGAAGTCATGTCTTTTTCTCTTCTCTTGGCATATGAATCGGCTTTCTAAAAATTCACTGTAGTAATCACAAAATGCTGCTGCAAAGAATTACTTGATAAAACCTTTTGAGATTTCAGCCTACCTCGTCCCTTTGTTTCATAACTAGAAGGAGTATAATGAATGCAAAAACTCAGTGAATAGAGCTCAGCAGGGCCTACTTTTTTCTCATGACTCCTGTGATTATAATAATTTGATTTTATAGGTGTCTATCCTAAGACCCCAGCTAGGGAGCAATCTTTACTGAGTCATGAACTTTCACATCATTAAATCTCTCCACATTTATTTTAAACATATCAAAAGTGTCAAATAACTTTAGATGTACTAAATTTTATTTGCATTGGGTAAAATGAAGTTTAGCCACTTGGGAAAATAAATGAAATAGTTTCCTTAGCACTCAGGAAGGCAGTTAGGCTCTCAAGTCTGCAATTCCCCCCAAATGGCAGTGCAGCACATCTCCTGTATAGGCCAGGACACATGTTTACAAGGACAGGAATCTGAGTAATTTCCTACCAGTCTGAAGGGAATATTAAACTCTTCTGTCAGTTGGATGTATATTATTTATGTTCCTTTTTTTATTATTGTTGTTGTTGTTGATTTCAAAAAATATTTCTTTGTTGGTTCAACGCTGACTCCCGATAGAAAGTGATGAAATGCCCAATATGTTAAAAAACCTTATCACTAAATCAGAAGCAGAACTATAAATTTTGGCTTTTGAAACTGAACTGACTGTTGAGGATCATTTTGCTCCTGAAATATTACAGCAGTGATCAATTTGCTGTAAAATTAAGCAGTTTAGCTCTGCAATCTATAGATGGAAAACATGTTGTTCTTGAGCAAAGTTTATGCCCTGCCCAAGGGATAAATTAAATTTTATGGGTAAGACATGCATTATTATATGCTTATCTGTTTAACATATCATTCTTTTCCACATCAGTATTATAAATATTTTTAATCATACATTTGATCTCTTGTGCATATAGTGATATGGTAATTCCCCCTGCCCCCCTCAAAAAATATGACCAAACACAGTTAATTCATCACAGAACAGGGGAGAATATTCTAATCTTCCTAAGAAATATGCTGAAGATTGAGGCAAAGGCACTTAAAATTGGGGCTACTTTGCAATCATTCAGTGGAATAAAATTTTCCTGAAGGAAGGGGTGGATCTACATTACCCATTTTTATTATGGTTATTATTGAATATTTATAATATAAGTCTCTAATCAGAACTGGGGGCAGCAGTCTAAGACAATTCACTTTAAAAAGTTAGGGAAAGCCATCAAATACATGCTGTTAATAACCTCATTACTGGTTTTAGATTTTCTGCTGACTTTCTTTGAATTGTCTAAACTGGAATCAAAGCTCTCAAACTGACTGTCAGCCCAGCTTTCAACCACTGGGCAATTCCTCTTAGAAGATCCAACAGAAATTGATCTTCTGAAGGAAAGAGAAAGAAGAGTGAGAAGTTGTGAACTCCTTGCATTTCATATATAAGACAGCACAGCAAAGATTCTTACAGTGTTTGTAGGGAAAGGAGGAGACCTGATACAGTGGCATATAAAATCTTAGGTATAACAGCCGCTCGACGTTTATAATATGGACACTATAGTGCTCAAATTAGAAGTGGAGGAACTCCTCTTACACATGTTTTATCAGCCACATCATTGAATATGTTAAAAAATAAAAATTAAAAAAAAGTGAAGGTGGACAAGCTGAGTCAGTCATCTTCAGTTTTGTGTGTATGTTGTGTTTTTTTTCACTTCTGTTAAAGGATATTTAAGACGATAGAATCAAAGCACCCATTACTAGTTAATTCATTTGGTCAGCTTGAACGGGAAGAATACACAGCAAAGACATCTTAATTTAGATATTTGTTCACCAAATGCCTTCAGCATCTGTCGTCCCTATTTGATGCTGTGCCTTGTGAATACTCCATGTCATACATGTGGAATCTCTCCCCATATGCAGTTTTGAGTTGAGATACTTGCAGATTCCACTAATTTCATTTGGAACTGTGTGGCTTAATTCTTTACACAGCTTTGAAAATCTAAAGCGTGGGTCCTTGTAACATCATCTTCATGGCTGACAGCCCTTTTCTGCTCTCACCGCCCACTTGCTTCCTTTCAGTCATACAGATCATCAGTCTTCTAGTTTTGGTGACATGGGTATCACTGACATATTATTTCTAGTCATCTTAATCTGCACTTGTTTCTTACTTTTTCTTTTCTGTAGCATGTGCTCCCAGGATTTTTTCTAACCTGACACAAATACTTTAGATGTGTACATTTTAGCCCATATTTTAGGCTGTCTCTAATATGTTTCCATGTGAATAACCTTTTCACATTTTTATGGAAAGAGAAATTTAAGGTGAATGTCTTAACAAACGGAAAACAGGAAAAAACACACCTTCCTTCAAGGTGAGATCTATTCCACTGTGGAGGAAGAGCTGGATGATAAACTGTAGGGGACAATTTTGCCTTGTCAGGAAGATGAACATGGTAGAGGTAACTTGCCTTACTGGCATGCTGTGAGGATTAATCAGTTAATGTTTTATAGTCCTTGGAAGTTGTAGAGAGCTATGCAAGTGCTAAATATTATTATTTTATTGTATCCTCACACTTTATATTCAAAAGTGAGCCACTTTGAGGAGACAATGCAAATGTGTCACTTATTATCCCTGTTCTCAATCACTGCAAGGTATTTCTGCAACGTACATGCTTCTCAAGAGTATGCTGCTGAAATGTAATTACTGCTGGCGTATAGATGGGCTGCCTTCTCAGGCTTTTTGGTAAACTTTAATCCTGCTTTTTATAAAATCACTTCTTAAATATAGCTCTCTGGGGCAGGCACTGTCTGTATGATCTGTGTTTGTACAGCTCGGTGGGATCTTGATCTGTGACTCACTGTCCTGGATACTAGCACATAAAAATAAAACAAAAATATATAAAAATGTTTACTCACTGAGCAGAAGTTGTATCAAGCAAAAGATTAAAGTCCAAAACATAATAAAGTCAAAGGGAACACTGTGCTCCAAGAGATTATAACTAGTCTTTGTGAGGGGTATAGAGCTGATATGAAATTATATTGTGAAAACTGATTTGTAGCAAATTTAAGAGCACAGTTCTTGTGCATTTGGACTTTAAGTACAATCACAATGATTATAGGTAAACAGAAACTATTTTAAAAATGAGCACACAATAAAAGTAGTGTTCTCTAGATAAGCACTCTGATAGCAAATACCTGGAGTAAATGTAAATGAATAACACTATTTTACTATGAGGTGATGCGACTGTTTTCTACATTGAAGATCTAGAGAAGAGAACACTGAAATGCTAGAAAGACTTCTGAGGAGATGAAAGAGGAGAACAGTCAGTGTGTTCCAGCATGGAAAGAGGCTCTTCAACTTGTCTGCAAGAAGCATCTCTATCTAGAAGATGACTACAGATCAGGTAAGATGAACACACATATACATATATGAAAAATGTTGTTTTGTTTTTTAAGTAATTTCTCTAAAATACTTTTTAACTAAAATATAAATAAATAAATAAATATTAAATAGACGTAAAGAGAATGACACTGATGAAACATGCCAGATCCACTCAGATCTTTTATATCTCAAGGTCCAGTCTGAAGACAGCATGAGCCACCCTAAATGAGATGACACAAGGAAGCTATGGACCTGAGAAATATGAGGCACCAGCAGACTTCAGGCATACTACCCATATGAGATGGGGTTTATGTCCTTCCTTACAAAATAAATATCCATTATAAATTTACAACTATAATGTATGTAATTTCTCATTTGTAAAAGCCTTCCTATGTGACCTACTCAGTCTTCAAATTCCTGAGGTACACGTGTTATGCACTGTGGGCAAGCACGAATTATTGTACCAGGATATTAACAATTACTTCAGTCCCATGCATTGGATTCAATGCTAATTTGCCATCTTCTTCACTGAAAACTGGAATGAGTGCTCAAACAGGACAGTGAAATACCCTTATACTCCTCCTTGTCTCTTGGAGAAGAATGAGACAAAGGAGGTGGTTCCAGGACTCCAATATCTCACACAACTCAACTACACTTGATTATTATTTGCTTCTCACAACCTGAAAAGAAACCTACTACCAGATTTGTCTGTCTCAACCCCGCTGAAGCTGAATACTTTCATACATATGTATGGATAGCTTAAGTTTTTATGAGCATAATTTGGGCTTTTCAAAATAGTGACACAATAACAAAGCAAAATTGAGACATGCATGTAATTTGAATACTGATTTGGTTTTATCTCTTCCTGTTGCTGGCACTTTTGATGCTGCTCTTTTCCATTCCATCTCCTTTCTGTTCTTATTTCCCAATGAATGGAATTAGTTGTGAGTGCATTTGCTGCTTCTACCAAGTGAATATCAAACCTGAGAAAATGTGTATCTGTGACCTCCCTAAGAGTTTTGGACAGTTACTCATTTGCTGCTACCTCTCTGAGTTTTCTACCGACTACTTAAGGTGTGTTCCCGATCCTCTTCTCAAATAGGAAAATGAGCACTGTCAGATGGCTATCACCATGTTTCTTGGCATTTTCAGCACTACAAGCTCTGATTTTTATTTACAGCTATGCAGCATTTCAAGGAGGTTATTGCAAAGGATGCCTTCTGCTTGTATTTCAGGTCAAATACCCTCAGTAAGCCGTATGCATCAATTTGCAGACTCAGGGCAGTGCTCCCCATGCTGCCTTAGAGTGAACAGAAGGCACTCAACCAGCCATTTACTGTTTCACAGTATTCAGGTTCATATCTGCCTTTGCTGCTGGATTACGTTGCAAGTGTAGAGTTATTAAAGGGTCCTCTATAGTAGAGAATTAGGTCTAATGAAGCTGCCCATGTCTCCTCACCCTTTCTTGGTGTATACAAGTAACAGGCAAAAAACCCAGACCCATCACATTTGTGTTAAAGTACAGAGGCTCCTCACAAGCAGCTGCAGCTAGATTTGAACAGTTTAATGTTGTAGAGAATTTGGTCCTAAAAATTATTCATAGAAAGTACTCAGTGAATAATTTCAAAGAGAAAATTAAAAAGTGCTCAGGGGCAATCTATGAAGAACAGAAAAAGGGGGTTAAATTCACCTAATAAATTATTTGCAGATTGAATAATTCATAGAAAATATGGGACACATTTAGAAGGGCTTGATTCAGTGTGTCAGCCTACTCTGCAAAGTGCAGATGCCTCAGAAATTGCATTTTCTAAGGCATCATTTTGGTATGTTACTACATCTGAATTTCCATCTGGAATCAGATGAGTGCTTTGAGTTTCGTGTACCTGATGGCAGCCAGTACTTGATGTTGGAGGGAAGTCCACAATGAAAATCTTGTAAGTGTTTTATTTCATCACAATTTAATAAGAATTTCCTTGCATTGGGCAGAAACTATAATATAGGTTTCTTCATAGCTATATTTCTTACCTAGCAGATATTTCAGCATGTTTCAGAATTTCTGAATTTGAGCAGAGATTTGCTCACTTGTTTAAAGTTAAGCAGATAATATAGATCATGTGCAAGACTACACGTGAATCATTTACTGATTGCCTTATCACTTGAAGAATTGCTACATCCTGGACAGGCAAACTTAAAATTACTCACATGTATATGTAAATGAACATCTAAGTCATTTTTGAAAGGTGTTAAACACTTGGCTTCATCTTGTGGCAATGAATTAAGTTCAGCAAAAACACTACAATTTTTTAATGTTAAATAAAATTTTCAAAATGCACATAAAAGTAGGCTAAAGTATGTTCAAAACAATTGAAAGCCCAGCATTTAAATACATTAAGTAAGTAACAAAAGAAGCATATGTGACTCTGTAAACAGATATTTTAAAATAAATTTAGTAATAGACATTTTAAACTCTCAAATCACTGTCAGAGCATATATATGTTAAAAGACCTATAAATATATTTTAAAACAATCTATTTTCCTTTCACTAGCTGCCAAGATCTCCATTAGGAGGTTTGTGTTTCCTCCCAACATTAAAGAATATCTCTAACATCTGTAGCAATGAATGGTGAGGAGTGTCAGTTCTGCTTCTGAAACAAGCAATGCCACCATCTGAAGGAGGAAAAATGTGGAATAATGAATATGCCTTCTGCGAGCAGTCTGTTGTGTAACAGAAGACGTGCAAAGTCTCTTGCTGGGCTTGTTTTCCTGAGTTTGTTCTATACACCTCTAAAGAGTGCAGTCAATTATGCAAAATTTGGTCAGTGGGAAAAGTATTGCCCAGAGATGCTAAACTCAAATATAAAGTGCCAGAGAGTGCATTGCAAGAACGGTGGTTGATGTGTCCTTAGGTATCAGGAAGGAGAGAAACCTATCATATTAAAACAGAGAGCCAATTTCTACCTAACTGCAGCAGCCATGACTTGAAACAGCACTTTTTTCTTTTTTCTTTTTTTTTTTTTACCATGAATATTCCCAGAAAAACAGAGAGAGAGAGAGAGAGAGAGAGAGGGGGGGGGAGAGAAGTTGTGTTTGCTGGGTATTTGGACTCAGGAGGTTCATGTTCCCTGTTCTTTTCCACAGTTGCTTTCTGTGTTACTTTGGTCCCTCTGTGCTTCATTTCCCTATCAGTGGATGAAAGCAACATCACTTTCTGATGTTCTAATAGCCATCAATAAACAGGTGGATATATTAATGATTGCAAAGTGCTCAGACATTATAATAAAAGGGAGGTGTGTACTATTGGTGAGTAATAAAAATAATGTCTGCAGGAACTTTACTGGAACCACAGAACAGAGGGCTACAGATCCTGTTATAATCCAATGGGCAATATTTTATCATTGTAAATATCTTTTAAAAGAAAGTCCCCATGTCTAATCTATAACCAAGAAATGTAATAGGATCTGCAGAACTTACAAAGCAAGGACTATTCACAAACAACACTTCCGAGCAAAGTGACCTCACCCTCCCGATTTCAAGAAAAAAATGCAAACAATTCATGCTAGGTGTTTTCAACTGTGCAAACAATGCCTAACATTCTGAGAAAAAGCCAAGAGCTCCTCACTCTTTCTAAAATTGCACAGGTTTTTTGTTGTGTTTTTTTTGTGTGTGTGTGTTTTATTTTTTGGCATAAAGCTTTATACAAATATTTCAGGTTTTCCCAAATTTTATGTGGAAAATTTCTTGCAATTATGCATGGAAACATATCTTAATCTAGTTGTGGGGTCCCGACACTTCTGCAAATAACAATGAAAACAGACTTTAGTGACATTCTAGCTTTAAATTAACCAAAATTATAAAAGAAATTTTTGACAAAGTTTCCAAAATCTTTGGGTGCACTTTAATCTCAGAATTATATTACCCAGCTGTACTTCCATGTGGAAGTATGTAATTCATAAAGATATAGGGGTATTCAAAGGATTATATTTGCTAAAATTTTTTCAAACCTGATTCCTAATACTCATGTGTCAAAGACAAAGACTGAAAACCTCAACAGTTAAAAAGAAAGATAATATACTGCTTGGTACTCAACCTGAACTACAATGGAAGAGGAAAAATCAGTGTTAATCTTGCTAGTCAAACCTTAATCAATTTTATATTTTGCTTAGCTTTTCCTTTTTCAGCATGTATATAATTTTATATATAATATATGCATGGCTTTACATTTATTATCTATATATGTGCTCACCCCAAAACATTAATTCATCCTTAATTTTTTTTGGTTAAAGTTACACCTTTAATGTTATTTTAACATAGGGCTTTTTTGTAATGTAATGATATTTAATTTGCATTAGCACAAGTGACATACAATAGATCATGCTATTATCATGATTGATATCAGATGAACTGGCATAAATTCAACATTATAAATTGAGCCTATAAATGAAACTATTATTTTACAGGAATTACTGTAGTAGAAAGGCTAAGGACCCTCAAGTCAACCTTAGTCAAACCCACTCTTTAGAGTTTTATATTTTATGCCTGCAATAAATGCTTTTGTGAAAGCCCATAACCTGAAAAAAAAAAGTCATTGGAAGTCTATTAATTATAATAATACTATCCAAAAAGCTGTGAGGGCTTATTTTTGTGACATCACTCTTTGATTTCTTACTGCCTTAAATTATCCCTTTGTTGGCTGGGTGAGGGTAACAGTCATACTTTTGTCATTAAATATAAGGAGTTTTAAAGCCTGATCCACCTTAGCTCTAATTGATATTGCTTTCATTTGGCAGATAGTGACCTGATTTATAATTTAAATATGCATCATTATATGCACCTCTTCTGTATAATGAAAAAGCAAAGTTACTCTCATCTTTTCCTGCAATGTTAACATCAAGGAAAAGTATCTTTCTTTTTTCCCTTTTATACTCAGAGCCTAATTGAAAACTGTTCATTGAATTTCAACATGATAGAAAAGTCTTTTTATCTCTCAATTTGTCCATTAGCTATTATAATTGAAGTATCTGC